ATGTATGTATACTTCTCTATAAGTAAAAGTTAAATGGTTAAGATAAAAATCTTAACGGTCCTTTGAGATTAGTTATAATTTTTATCTTTTCATGTTTTCATTATAATTTAAATTAAATGTATTTAATTGAGTATTTTCTTTTAAAATAGTTGCATTATTTTTTAGATGTTTTTGAATATTTTTAAAAAATAAATTTATAACAATCAAATATATTTTTAAAATTAAAAATAAGTTTGGTACAATCTGCACCATATAATTTAGGTTAATGGAATAATTCAGATGATAATAATAATAATAATTTGTGACACCAATGAAAGTTAAGAGTACTTCACCACCAATTAGTTGGCTCTTCTCAACTCATAGAAAACCCACCCTAACAATTGAGGATGGATAATAATAATAATAATTTGTGACACCAATGAAAGATAAGAGTACTTCACCACCAATTAGTTGGCTTTACTCAACTTATAGAAAACCCACCCTAACAATTGAGGAAGACGACTGCTTTTAATTTTTTTTTCTTATTTTTTAGAAAAAAAATATATTAAATAATAATAATAATAATTGACAATATTTTTTTTATGAATTTAATACGGATCTGAATTTTAATATTTAATGGCACTCAAAATTTTAACATCCCATAAATAATATTATCAATGTTATTTTTGTTTAAACAAAAACACATTTTCATGTATATAATTTCACTAAAATCTTAAATAAATATCAAAATTTAGATATTAAACATATAAATACATTAAATAATTACTTATCATATTTTAATTTTCTGAAAAATAACAAGAAAATTATAATAAAATATAAATGTGATGGAACATTAATGAACAGTCCATTCATGAATTTTAATATTTTAATTATGAACAGTCCATCCATGAATTTATGGAACATTAATGACACTAAAAAAAGACCATTCAACCATTTTCAACTAAAAATAAAGTATGTTGCATTGAAAAAATTATTATATCAGGAGTTCTAATGTAATTTTGCATCAAACAATAATACATAAATGGATCTATCTGTACGCATGACAAAACCTGATTTGAGCCCTGATGCAATATTTTTTCACTGCATTGAAATGTCACTCAAATAAAAATAAAAAAGGTGTATTTACATATCCCGCACCTAAGCTTTCATATTTACACAAAGCACTTAAATCTTTAATATTACATCAAAAACAACACTATTATCACTTTGTAAAAATGAAATATATATTTTCATACATAAATTTTCAAAACACCAAAAACAATGTTAACTATGTAAACATGAAAGTATAGGTGTGAGACATATAAATGCATTAGAACTGTGGTAGGTATATAAATTTCCCAAAAAATATATATAGAAGCAAAGGATGTTATATTACTCAACATAAAGCCTAAAAATTCAAGCTACAAATAAACAGTCACATGCGATAATCTTAGATATAACAACAAAGTCATCAAAAGCAAAAATTAAAGAAAAGAACAAACTCCTAACTCATTGTCAAAACCTCAAAATCATACATACTCAACACAGCAATCTCATTCAGATTCTTATCGGGCCGCCAAAGAACTCAATCCAGATATCGCACCAAAAAGGTTAATAGAAGGCGGCGGCAATGGCGGAGGAGCATCATGTTCAAACAAACCAAGCTTCACCATGAATCTATGAATCAAGACTCCAGCCACAAACGAAAGACCAGAGGCCGAGAATCCGAGCCCAAGATAATAAATAAAAGTCTTTATATAAGCCTTCGGCTCACTCACATGAGCCTTTCCTATAGAGAGGAGTGCTATGCAGAGCAGAGAGGATAGACCAACTACAATGAGCTTCTCCTCCTTCAGATCTCTTTCTCGGAACGAGAAGCCATAGATGATAGGAGGGAGGAGACCAAAGAATATATATGAAATTATAGCTACTGTTGCATGTAAACCAAAGTTGGATTTTTTGCCTAATAATTTCCAGTACCGACCACTCCGCTCATCATTTTGGGGTGTGGGTGGACTGCTTTTAAGATCTGAGAGCTGAAAATGGAGATATGAAAATGGATGTAATTACGTAGAGACAAATGGTAAATAGGAAGGATATCAATATTTGATTTTTGAAGGGCTTACATCATGTAATAGCACAAAGAAGCCACCTGTAAGATTTGCCAATCCTAAGGCAACAATATTTACTGCAAAACAAAACAAGTTGTTGAGATTTATTGTCTATATACTTAGATGTGCAAAACAAATTCAAATAAACAAAGAATTGTTCAAAAATCTTGCATTATAGTTTGCATGGATAATAATATCTTTCAAAAGCTGGAGAATAAGCACAAGGGCAAACATAGGATAGAACTTTCTATGCTTGGCCCTTAATGGTTCCAGTGTACTCAATTAAGCACAACGTTTTTTTTCCTGAACGGTACTTAATTTCCCCCACGAATGAGTGCTCGGGCTTTATCGAGTGAATATTTTGAAAATTATCCCGCAGCCTCAAAATTATACCTTTCAAGCTTCGACAGCGACGATTGGCGATGATGATGTTGATGACGACAACGACAATGTAATAAAAGGACAATACACCTTTTTTTTTAAATACTATACACAACATGAGACATAAGTACCACAAGCCTTGCTAGGGTGAGTGCTCGGGCTCCAATAAAAAGACCATCGAAGGCTTGGTTCGAGCAAACATGATCGGGTCGGGCTTTCAATTTCGTGCGGCAGAGATGAAGCACAAAGGGAGAAATATGGGATTTTTGAAAGGTCTTTGTAATGTGCTCCCGTGTTGCTTTCCCCCACTCGTAGCTCTTGACTTGGCAAACAGGAAGAGACCAAAGCTTCGGATGACGCGGAGGATGACAAAGAAGAGTATTTTCCCCGAAGCTAGTCTTTGTAATGTGCTCCCGTGTTGCTTTCCCCCACTCATAGCTCTTGACTTGGCAAACAGGAAGGGACCAAAGCTTCGGATGACATGGAAGATGACAAAGAAGAGTATTTTCCCCGAAATTATTTTTTTTTTTTACTTCGCTTCTTCCAATGGATCGCAACCGTTGTGCGAACGAAGCTTGAGTCCAGACTATGGACGTAGTATTTTTTCCTCGAATAGAGGCTTGGCTTTCAGAGTTGAGTCGTGCAAATCACACAAACGGAAACAGTTACTGTGAGGGCACGAGGCTTACAAATTTCAGCTCAACTTAAATTAATTAAGTTTATTTATAATTTTTAATTATTATTTTGACGTCAACACTGTCCTCCATTTTATAATTTTTAATTATTATTTTGACGTCAACACTCTCCTCCATATCAATCAGGAGTAAATGAAATCAGACAGAATAAAGAGTTTCTTTCTTTGCAATGTTGCAAAAAAAAATCAGACAGAATAAAGAGTTTCCTTCTTTGCAATGTTGCAAAAAAGGATGTTGCAAAAAAAAATATTGTAATTGCACAGATTCTTTCCTTTTAGTTGAATATTTAAATTAGGAATATGTATTATTAAGCTGCCTAAAATATATTGAGCGTTTTATTATGTACCTAAAATAGATTGTACATACTATTATTTATTTGGAATGAAAGCAAAGGAAAAGGCATTCAACCTATTCATGAAAACTTTGACAATAGTCAGCTGTGATTTTCCCACACTTATGCTAATAATAATTTTTAAATTAGTAGCTAAAATACAATATGAAGTAAAGAAGTTCATTCTTACATGTTGAGGTTTTAGCACCAGCGGCAGATGAAATTACACCAAGGCTGGTAATTGATTCAAGCAAACCACCATAAACAATACTCTTTAGAACTTCCCATTCATTTCCTCTTGTCTCTCTCACTAACATTGGATTGCTTACATTAATCTGTACATCACCACCCAGAGGTAGGAGAACCGTAGACAGTCCAGAAGAAATGCTAATACTTAGGTCCTGTTGAGAAGTTCTTTGAGGAGGAGATTCAACTACTACAATAGGCTTAATCATATCATCATCTGTTTCAACAAGTTAGAATAAATCACGCGAGAAATAACTTCTAATGTACTTAAATTTCTAAACTTGCATATTTACATGCATGCCACTTAAAAATATAGCATCGTATAAAAAAAAAACCAACGCCATTACCTTTTAAAAAGTGAAATAAACCTTTTCATGCATAGTTTTATGACCATAAGGGGTTATAAGTGTAAATATCAAACTTTGGGTGTCAGACATGTAAATACATAAGAATTGTATGGTAGGTATGAGAATGCCCCTATAAGTAATGAAAATATAAGACAGGAAGTTTCAGTTTTGAGCCTAACCGTGTGATAAGAAGACAGGCGGTATTGTTTCAACGGCATCGTTATCGTTTTGATGAAATCCTCCTGGTCTAGCAGGCTTGTTTATGACCACAGGCAAAATTTCATCATCATCTAAAAAGTAGATTACATAAACAATTGCATCAAGACAAATATAACTCTTAGCAATTATCTGTAACATACTTTCATAATGTATCATACAACTTGTACAGAGAGCATAAAAAATTTTGCACAGCATGCATGCAAGCAAATACAAGTATGGCATCCATTTTAATTTTTAAATGTTGTGTAGCGGAAAATCCTGAAAATTTGATTTCCTAATTAAATAATGTAAATATCCAAACCAAATTGGGATAGAAATCTCCATGATAATGTTATAGATAGCCAAAATTATAAAAAGTTCAATATAGATTATTCAAAGTATCTTAAAAAATTGAAGACCTTGTCTTTAAGACAACTGCTTTACAAAAATAATAATTTTAGAGGCAATAACGATAAATTTCAAAAATACTTTTTTTTCTGTAAAATAAGGAGAATGAGTAATCATTATTTTCACATAAAATATGACATTATTCTGCAGAGTACAAGAGGATAAAAAAAGGACAGAAAGAATTATCAGTCCTCTTAATTGCCCGGTGCAGTTGATTTTTTCAAGTAGCCAAGCCTATAAATTAGAGAAGTATTTCATGCTATTAACGTCAACATAATTTTCTGTGAAGAGTTCATAATGAAGACGCAGTAAATATTCTTAAGCCATTGATATTATAAATTCATTATTGTCCTAACTAATGCTCTGGAGCTTCAGAAAAATAGAGGACCTGATTTGATCTTTAAAGTTGTTGAATAATTTTCTCCAGTGCTGGCTGTTTCAGAAACAGGTAGAGCTACAGAATTCTCATTTTCATTTCCCGATCGACCCCCACCTGCCGAGACCTCAATGACAACCGGAAATTGAGCTGCTGCTAATAAAAAAACGAGTGTCAGTATCTTATTACACATCACATTTACGTCACATTTACATAAATACAGAGGAATTAAATGATATATATGTAAATCTTCCAATTTTATATTGTACAAAAAAGACAACCTAAGGGCAAATATTCGAGAGTTTAGAAGAACCAGAAAAACCTGAATGGAGTTTTCCATCGCTTGCATAGCTTTCTTCAATTTCTAGATTATGATCCCCACCAAATGAAACCTCAAGCTGCGGTTGAAATTGAGCTGCTCCTACAGAATTGGACAGCGTTAGCAACTGAAACATCATCATAGAATTTCTGCGTTGACTTAGCAATGTGGGCTCCGAAAATCCCACTAGCTTCTATCAAATATTCAAGTGAATCTTGATTTTTTTTACTAAGGTAAATTATATAAGATGCCATTCAAATAATTGACATCCTAATAAAAAGATCTGGTTCAAGCAATTCCTAAGTATTTCACATATCTACACCAAAATTTTGTTTTTTTATATTTGTACGACCCAAAAATTTCATATCACACAAAAACAATATCACCATTTTAACTTTTACAAAAGTGAAATACACCTTCATACATAGGTAGGTGGTGTACATGTAAAAGTTGAAATATACATGTTAGATATGTAAATACATAAGAATTAATTGGTATTTATGTAAATCTTTCCACGAAAATAACTTTTCGTACCTCAAGCAATTTCACGTTAAACTATTGGCAATGCTGAAAATAAATCATATAATACTATTCTGATAAATAAATATGAAAATTAGCGATACATGAGTTAAATTAAGTCTACGACGTTTAAAAAATTGGCTGACCTGCACCAGCATATATGGGTTTTGTAATATCTGCATTGTTTGGGGTTTCAGATGCAGTAAGAACAGGAGACTTCTGGTTGTTTTGTTCAGAATATCCAACATGAGGAGTCGTGGAAGATTGTCCTGGCAACACAGCTGCTGGGATAGGCACTGCAATTTACAGAGTTCATAATCAACATCAGTAATGATGCATAGATTCATCAAATACAACTGCTGAGCGTGTTAAAAAACATATTCTTTATAAATAAAATAAAGAACGTAACTCTCAACTTGTTTTAACAATTCCAAACACTTCAGCCCATTTGAGTGAGATCAATTTTATTTTTATTATTATCTTTTTAAATATGTTTGTTTGGTGTGTTTTTTACGCGGTTTCTTTTTTTGGTTTTAAAAAAATCAAGACAACTTAAAGTTCTTTTCAACATGAGAAACATATTTTATTTCAAGACAATAAATAAACAAAAAAACAAAAAACAAAAACATAAAAATAGAAAATAAAAGGCAGAAGTGATCCCACACGACACCTTAACAATTTAAGAGTAAATCATGCTCGTAATTGCATAAGATAGGTCTCTGTAACCAAAGCTCAAATGGCTAAGATCAATAATTATGAAAGAGCACTTTCTAATGAAAATTAGTACAAATATTATCTAAGAAGAAGAAAGCTATTTATGAATGCACGCTGTCATGTCAAGCTACGCACTAGGATAAGGCAAAAAGTAAAATAAAAAATAATAAAAACCTAGAAAATGATTGTTGACTTTAAAATGTAAGAGAAACTATTAATCTTTAAATATAGATGACTAGTTCAATTAAGATGATTGTTATATACATTTTAGAAGAGCCAAGAAATTGATCATACACTAATACAGAGACTTAACTCACTGAAGTGGTGTGCTGAAGAGAAATAATTATAAAGAAAATTGATCATACACTATAAAGGGACTGTTTTGGATCACTCTCTATTTTTTGTTTTTAATTTGTTTTATTTTTGTTTTGCTTTGTTTTAACATAAAACAAAAACATGTTTGGTGAAACTTATAATAAGGAAATAACTTATCGTGCCTTAAGCTATTGGCAATGCTGAATATAAAGCATTGAAATTGTTCTGATAAATAAATATGAAAGTTAGAGATACATGAGTTAAATTATGTCTGAGATGTTTAAAAAAGTGGCTGACCTGCACCAGCAAATTTGGATTTTGTAATTTCTGCATTGTTTGGGGTTTCAGATGCAGTAAGAACTGGAGACTTTTGGTTGTTTTGTTCCGAATATCCAATATTAGGAGTCATTGGAGATTGTGCTGGCAACACAGCTGCTGGGATAGGCACTGTAATTTACAGAAGTCATAACTAACATAAGCAATGATGCATAGATTCATCAAACACAACTGATGAGAGTGATATAAAAACATATTGTTCATAAAAAAAATAAAGAACAGAACTCACGCCTTGTTTTAATAAGTCTAAACACTTGAGGGCCTGTTTGAGATCAATTTAATTTTTATTTTTTATTTTTTATATTTCAGTTCTTTAAAAAAAAAGTTTGTTATTCTTCAAGTTTTTCTTTCCTTGAAACAAATGAACTTGTTTTCAAAAACCCTCAAAACAACTAAAAGTTCAATTGTTTGGACAATGTTGGAACTAAATGCTTCTACATATATTCAATACATGACAGGTTGTGCAGCCAAATGTAGAAATCAAATCTTATCTACCATAAAACTCATTAAAAAACTTTTTATTTATCTCCACCCTCCAAATAGTTAAGGAGCTATTGTTCTACTTTAATTTGCATTAGGCTCTTAAGAAAGCATTGCATTATTCCATACTTCCATCTCCTTAAATCATGGAAATACTAAGTCTTCAATTTTTTAGAGACAGAAGTCAAATTATAAGTTTTATAAGAAATATATTTCATTAATTTCCTTCACCAAGTGCTTAAATGTATCCAAAAATGGATTTGTTAAATGCAACTATATTTTCAATACCAATGACCTACATTAAGAAAATAAATAATAAAACTATATTTTCAATACCAATTATATATAATACTCAGACTATTGACTAATTCCAACTTTCCATGAAAAAAATTAATCCTACTTCTTGCCCTTAAAATGTAACTAATATAAATTTCATTTTGCTGAATGAATTGGTTGAGATTCTAAAAATTTACAGCAAAGACAAACCTGAATCTTTTCCTTTGTTCCTACTTGACTCTGGTTTGAAAAATAAAGATAGCCAGCTGCCATCCCTGGTAGATGTCTGTCCTGATGATTGAATGTTGGGAATCTGCACCTTCACACTCTCCTCCCTTTTTCGAAAAAATGGGAATATATCAAATCCATTTTCTGCATGCAACAATAGCAACACATTAAATGGAAATTTACATACCCAGCACAGAATTCTTATGTATTTACACATCTCACACCTAAACTTATGTAACTTTTATCTCATATATGAGTCAAAATCATAACAAAAGGTCATGGTAATGGCAATCTAACTTTGCCTTAGCCCCATTCTCAATTAAAAATTACTAATGAATTTGGCAGGCCAATTAAAATTTATTTATTATTCATCATCATTTTTCCTCTATATCATCACCATAATATGTAATTTTGCTATTGAATACCATAAATATTTTCATTTTCATCTATTTAATCTTTCCGCCGTGCATGCTGAATCATGAAAAATAGAAATATTCTTTGGTAGGCTAATCCAACTAAACTCTTTATATGCTAGGAATTGTTTAAAGAATGGAGACCCTTGAAGTGCCCATCGAAGAACACAGAGAAGAATGAATTTTAAGAAACAACCTCAAAGGGTGGATCTCAACCAACTTAACGGAGCAACTTCAACAAAATGGAGCCAACAAAATAACAAAAAATCAAATAAATTTTTACATGAAATTAAACAAAAAAACGAACAATTAATGTAAAAAAGCTATACCTCTTGGAATGAAAAAACTAAAGCACGATAAACATCTGAATACATCTGGCTCATCATCACGAATTGTTTCTACAACTTCAGTCGAAGTAGATACGATATTTGGTCGAACATGTAGTTTCTCGGGGCGTTCTTCATATCGAAAATCTTGAACTCTCCTCTTCCGTTTGCGTAAAATTACTCTTTTTGTGATGCATGAGTGGCAATTAGGACAAAATAAATCATGAGTTTCCTGCTCCTCTAGTACCTTCTCAAGATCTAGCTCGGAAACATCTAATTTAAGAGTTTCTACAACCTCATTATGTCGATGAGTTTGAGTTTCAGGATCAGTAGTTGGCACTATTTCATCTTCAACCTTTTTTACAGAATCAATTTGCAAATTTAGTCCATTTTCTATGTTAACGTGATTACAATCTTGTTTCTCATCACCATCTTCAACCTCGAGAACATTTTGAAGATCATCCAATATGTCCGCGAATGCTGAATTCCCATTTTCAAGTTTTTTGTCGGCAACAGAAAACTCCGTTTCAGTTGATTTCAATGTGGTACCATCAGGACTAAAAAATTCAGTACCTGCAGCCAAAAAAGTCAATTAGCATCAACTTCATGTGTAAGACATTCATTTCTCTATGCCTTTTAAAGAAGATATACTTTAAGGGGGATTTTTCCCCGCTGAATAAGAAAATTGAAAGTAATCTTTTGAGGTGCTTGCAAGGAAAAATGTTATTTTGCACTGATTGTTTTCCGACTTATCTGCAATAAATTTTCAACCGGGGAGTTTCCCTTGAACTTCTTTTGCATTCAATTGTGGAATGAGAGAAAAGGAAGTTGTTTCCTTCACAATTAGGAAGTTTATTAATAACAAAAACAAATAAGAGAGACGTACAATCCTTATTTTTTGTCGTCTTCTTGGTCTATTAGTTTAAGCTTTTGGGCTAATATTTAAAATTTCACTAGAATATAGGCTCCTTGTGATGTTTCCAAATGTTTAAACCTCCATTAAATGATAGGGGCATTTACTAGCATACCATACAATTCTTATATATATACATATCTAACATCTAAACTTTCATATTTTCACACATGTCGCTCAAATCGTTAAATTTACATAAACAATACCACTATTACTAACATTTAAAAAGTGAAATATCAAAGTGTTGACACCAAAGTGTTATAAATGCAAATATCTAACTTGAGATGTCAGATATGTAATATGTAATACATAAGAATTGTGTGGTAGGTATATAAATTTCCCTAAATGATATCAAAGGGTTGCAACTCATGAACCCAAATCCAAGCTCATGATCAGATCAAAAAAGCCTAAATTGAACTCAAATCAGATTGATTCATGTTTTTAAATTTTGCATTTATTTATAAGAGTATTTTAAAATTAAAAACAGATTATCTTTCCGATAAAATTATTTTAAATTTCAATTAAATCATAGTAATTGATTTAATGGGGTTAGATGAAGGGATTACTTATAAATCTTAACTGTAAACTCTGTCTATATAAAAACGGTTAGATAACATGATTATGTTTAATGTTCTTGATTAATCTGATTGATTAAGTTCAACTTATGCACTATGTGAATGATTGTAAGGAATTGAAAAACCGCTTAAATCTTAATGAATTATTTGGCTACTTATTTTGAAATTTAAACCAGTTAGCTACCATACCACATGAAAAATTTTAATAATATGTTTTTATGATGAAATAAGAAAATGTTAAGTAATAAATTATTAATACAACAGATTATAATAAATTATTCAATTTAATTTAATATGATCAAATTCAATCATTAACACTGCTTACTAAAATTTTATTAAAATTATTAGACATTTTGAATCATGATTAGTGTAACATCAATATTAAACAAAATATTTCTTTCAGTTAAATTAAATTATAAACAATATCAATTTATTTAAGTTATTATTATTTAATAAACTGATATTAATTAGTAAGTCTGATTAAAGATTATATCAAAATCTCTCCTTTAACCAATTCCCATTAATATTAATAATTCAAAAATTATAAAAATAAAATAAAAAATAAGATAATAAAAACATGAGTAAACCAGGCATCTCTTTAGCTCCCACCCAAGCTACTGAAGAAATCCTTCTCACCTGTCCTTCGCTTCAAACAGAACAAATTCAGGAAGCGGCGACAGAAGCAAGCTAGAGAAGGACTTGATCGAACCAGCAACAAGCTAAGGAGAAGCGGGTTTTCCAGTAAAGACCCTTCGCGAGCTTCAGTTTGTCTGAATCCCGTAAATCAGCATAACAGTTTGATTTATTAAATCTGGGATCTGGCGCAAAATGAGGAGTTTCGGAATTTATGATTAATTTGAAGCTGTAAATTTTTATTATTTGGTAAGATTTAGATTAATATCTGCTTAAATTCCGCTCAAATCCTGTAACCAAACAACCCTAATAGTGAAAGTTAACTTAGAAATTAGCCCTCGCAAAAGGCCAAGGATACGAATCTTTTTCCAGTACCCAAAACCACATGTAAACACTATTACATCCTACGTATTTTTCTTCTCTTTTTTCCCTCGAGACTGCAATTATTAAAACTTGCAGAAAGAGTCTTACAATCATTTTGGCACTATAAAGAAACAAAATAACTGGTTACCGAAAAGGAATTAGAGTAGAAATGCAACAAATTAGCCCGCAAAAGAAATTGCATGATCAACATCGCCGGGGCCCGGCGAAGGGCCCAGAAGGGAGCTGAGTGCGAAGGCAACATCTCTTACCATAAAACAGAAAAAAACAAGACGCGGAAAAAGGGCAGGAGGCGGCGGTACCTTGATCTTCCTCGAGGGGAACGCTCTGGCTATCTTTCCCTGAGGACGCATCCTCGTCGGCGGCATCATCAACGAACGTCGCCGGAGTATGATTCCCTGATGTGGGTCGCCTCCGCCGCTTTGTATCAAGCCCGCAGTCGCCATCAACTTCTCCGGCGACGTCCTTCTCCTCCTCCTCATCATCCGTCCACTGCTTCTTCTGCACCGTCTCCATCAATGTCGCCGGCGTTGTCTCCGTCGCCATCGAACCTCAGCAGCACCTCGTGTTCTGTGTCACATTCAATGCTGGAGCTGAAGTCGCCACTCTCTTTATGATAATAAACAGTAATGTTGCTGTCATTGCTTGAAATATTATATTTCTAAAAAATAATGAGGATTCACATGCATCACCCCATGATAAGTAAAAATTATTGTGTAGAGATGCATGCGTTGTTCCATTCTGATCGTAAATTACGGTAATCTACAATCAGAATGTATTTCAGTGAGCTCTACTTTAAATTTTTTTCTCAAAAAATTTTGATTGCACTGTATACATATCTGCATGCGATGTATGTACATAATAATTTTTCCATGATAAGTGGAGAGTTTTGTATTCATATGAAAAAATGGAGCTTTTTTGATTCAATGCTGGAGCTGAAGTCGCCACTCTCTTTATGGTAATAAACAAGTAATGTTGCTGTCATATTAATGGTTGCTTGAAATATGAAATTTTTAAAAAATAATGAGGAAAGGATTCACATGGAGAGTAGAGAATTTTGTATTCGTATGAAAAAAATGGAGCTTTTTTGCATATATTCCACCTAATTCTTACATATCTACCATATTGACTTTCATGTATATATAAATTTTTAATATCAAAATATGACTAATTTAAAATCATACTTCGAGTGTTAGATATACAATTATCTAAGAAATGCGTGGCATGTGTGTAATCTTTTTAAAAATAATTTATAATAAATGTAATTTAAAATAATAATTAATATTACTTCCATGCAAATTATTATTTCAATATTTTGAGTGATTTTGAGTGAGGATTGATATGAGTCAAACAAATATTCATCATTTGTTATGAATTTTAAGGTATAGTGCGGATCTCGAGGTAATCTTTTTAGTAAAAAATATTCAAACATTCATCAAGAGTCATTATTTCAGCAAACTTACAGTCAAACTAACCGACTTAACAAGACGGATCCAGTGATAACAAATTAGTCAAATTTGAGTCAAATCTAGTTCAAATCAAGTCACGAAACTACTCTTGGAAGTTTGTTTAATATATTTAGAAAGTCAAACAGATGTTGAATTTAACAAGTTTATACGAATTTAGTAAGCTCAATATTGTTCAATTATGACATCGTTAAGACAGTCAAAAGTCCATCAAACATCGTCTGATTGAAAGAAGCTCTTCGAACAATCGAATCAAAGTGGTTTGTATTCCTGCATTATCACCGCAGACTGTCATCGACCACTACTAACCTCTATCAACTACAGCCGATAGTTGACAATCACTGTCAATCTCAGTCGACCGTCGCTAACTGTTGTTTCTCACTGTCAATCGTCGTCAATCACCGCCAACCACCGTCGACCACAATCGTTTGTCGTCGATCATCGTCCACCACTGTCGACTATCATTGACCAAATGTCGCCAATCAATATCGGTTGTCGATTGTTCCTATCAACAAATTCATCAGCATGTCGACGTTGTAACTTGAGAAACATGGTAATCCTTTCCTGCCTGTGGGGCAAATAGTTACAATTATAACCATCTTCTTATAGTGAAATTTTTTAGCTGAGTCAGACCACATGATTTTTCCCTTTCTAAGTTATCCGAGTAAAAACTTATAATATCATTATTAGTTGTTTTCTTTTTTTTGAGTGGGTGTTGAATTTTTGTACCACGCTATGACGATAATCTGTCATGGTATCACCGCAAATGTTCTACCACAAATCATTGATGAAAAAAAAATGCTCAAGATCAATTATATCGGCGTGCGGGATGTTTAGAAGTTAAAGAGAAAAAAATTATCAATTGTGACAACGTACTTGCCTGAGACATACATAGTTGTTATGAATTTAATTTCTGAGGTCACATA